AAGAAAAAAAAAAGAAAACAGTTAAAGAAATACCAAAAAATCATTTTCGAAAGGCTTATCTTAATTTTGAAAAAAGAAATTTCCTAAATAAAAAATAAGAAAAAGATTAAAAACTATTTAAAAGTCACTTCTGATTTGCTTACCTTTGATTTGCTTACCTTAATTTCCAAAATAAGAATTTCCTAAAAAAACAAGAAAAAGAAAGGAAAAAGTTAAATTTCTGCCCAAAAATCGCTTTACTAGAAAAAAATGAAAAATGAAAAAAAATTTATTCAGAATATTCCAAAGTTTATCAGTTTTATATTGTAAACTGAACTAAAATTTTGATTAATTTGAAGTTTAGATATTATTTTTTACTTATCATAAATGTTACAAATGGATGATTTTGTATTATCTGATTGGAAATATAGAAATCATTTGAAAGGAATGAAAATTTGATTGTTTCTTTCAAACAATGATGAAATCATTCAAAAGGAATAATATTTTGATTGTTCCTAAGAATAATATAGAAATCATTTTTAAGAAATGATAATTTGGTTATTCCTTACGAACATAAAAAATATTCTAAAGAAACGATTATGTATTGTTCTAAAAGAACAATAAGAATATCATTCTTTCATAATGATAATTGAATCATTTCAAAAGAATGATAAAAAAAATATTGTTCTTTTCAGAACGATAATTAAATTGTTCCAAAAGAATGATAAAAATTCATTCTTTTCAGAATGATAATGAATCTTTCCAAAAGAATGATAAAAAAATCATTCTTTCAGAATAATAATTTATCATTCTAAAAGAATAATAAAAAAATATTGTTCTTTTGGAATGATGATGTATCATCCTGAAAGAAAAATAAAAAATCATTGTTCTTTTGAAACGATGATGTATCGTTCCTTAAAAATGATGAAAAAACATTGTTCTTTCAAAACAATAATTGAATCATTCCTTTAAGAACGATTTATATCATCTCTTTAGAAATAATTGTTCATTTTTTTAGGAATGATTTTTATCATCTCTTTGGGAACAATTATTTATTTCTTTTAGGATGATTTCTATCATCATTTTTGAGACGATTGTATCGTTTCTTTTGAAACGATTTCTATTGTCTCTTTTGGAATAATTGTATTGTCTCTTTTGAGATGATTTTTATAGTCTCTTTTGGGATGAATGTATCATCTCTTTTGAGATAAATGTATCGCTCCTTTTGAGATGATTTTTATCATCTTTTGGAGAAAGTTTTTATAATTTTCACAAAAATTGGTTCAACAAATTTCGACTAATGAGATACAGTTGATTTGTTGTTAAATCTTGAATATAACTGAAATTTTGCTGAATATTGTAACTGAAAGGTCTTAATGCTGAAATAATGCTAAATTATGTGTGATGTAATAAATTACTATTGATTATTATAACTTGAGCCAAATTTTTTCTAAATTAAATAACTGAATTAGCTAAATGTTTGATAAAGATATAATGCTAAAATAATGCTAAATTATGTATGATGTAACAAATAACTATTGATTTTTGTAACTTAAGCTGAATTTTTGTCAAATTACATGAATTGGCTGAATGTTTACTGAAAGGGTTACGGTACGTTTGACCGAAACCCAATTGACCAAAACCCATTTGGCCGAGTCTAATTGGCCGAATAGACGTTTATCCGAAGGTCTACCTTACCAAATAACCCATTCACCGAAGGTCCACCTTACTGAATGTTCAGTTCACCGAAGGTCCACCTTACCGAATGACCTGTTTACTGAATGTCCACTTTACCGAAGGTCCAGTTCACCGAATGGACATTTTACTGAAAATTTAATGATTTTCCGTCCAATTTTATTGTGATAGATTAAAAAAATTTTCAACTTTATACGTAATAAAAAATATACAATGTGACATATAAAAATAATAAAATATTTATTCATAGTAATTAATTAATTATACAACTAGATAAATTTTTTTTTCATAATAAAAGAACTACAGTATACAGATCTACTTATTTTTTTATTTCCAATTTTATTCACAAAATGTGTAATAACCTTCGGTGAACTGGACATTCGTTAAGGTGGACCTTCAGTGAACTGGACATTCAGTAAGGTGGACTTTCGGTGAATTGAACATTCGGTAAGGTGGATTTTCAGTGAATTGGTCATTCGGTAAGGTGGACTTTCAAGCAACTGTCTATTCAGCCAATTGGACTCGACCAAATGGGTTTCGGTCAATTGGGTTTCGGTCAAAAGTCTGGATACGTACTGAAAGGTATTAGGGCTGAAAGAAATGATTTCAACTAATGTATATCATAGAAAGGATATAGCAGAGTAATTATTAGATAAATAAATGTCATTATAACTAAATATCATGGGATTGGTGATTATATTAATTTATGAATTAAACTCAAAAGAGTACTTAAAAATAACTAGAAACTTGGGATTGAGTAATATTCGAGTCATGATAATTAAATTTTAAAAATTCAATAATTAATTATTATTTTATTAATTACGAATTTTAAAATTACATTTTTTTAGATTCATAAGTATTTAATTTTTGAAATATTAGTTTACAAGCGAAATAGTTAAGGCAACTTTTTTTTGATATTCTTGCTTTCATAAAAAATTTTGATCTGTATTTTATTTTTTATGATGTTTTCATAAAGAGTTCATTTTCACGGAATTTATTTAATCACAGAAATATTTAGCTAAAAATTTTTATAAGGTCTATACCTACTAATTGATTTAAACATTTTTTGAATTTTAAGATCATTTTTGAAATGAAAATTTGGTATCTTTAGTTTTATTAATAAATTCCATAAATAACAGATTATTAATAGAGGTTAAAATAAAATATTGCAATCACAAGAAAAGTTTATTAAAACTTTATAAAAACATAATATATTAATTAACTATATTTACTATGTATTGACTTATGAACTAAAAATTACTCATCAAATCACGAAAAATTCGAGTCACTACACAGAATTCTCATTCTTCTATAAAGGACTGTTTGTTTTTCAGTTTGAACTATTACCAGGGTCATCATAATCTTTAATCATCATTGTTTTAATAGAATTGGCTTTGATTTTGCTAAAGTGAAATACCTGTATACTCTGAACTTGTGAAAATTTTATTTTTAGGATATCATAAATACATATTATCAAAGCTATACAATAAGTATTACCATTTTCAAATGTTCAATTTTTAACAATATTTGGTTAATTGACGCTTTAATTTGAGTTAGAGAACTTTTTATACTGCTAAATATTAGCTATAAAATTAATAACTCAAGTCAGAAGCTCTATTAATATTACTAGATTAATATTTTTCCTAAGATGGATTAGTCTTTCTAAAAAAAAAGAATTTTTTTGCGCTTGGATGTTTTCTGTTTGATAATCTATTAAAAAACATAATATTAATAATTAATGAAAAAGGTAATTTAGAAGAAAAAAATAGCTTATTGTTTATATTCTACAATAAACACACTTTTTTTAGCTTTATTACTTTATTCCTTAAATTTGAATTTCGTGTAAAACTTAAATAAATTTTCCAAAAAGATATAAAAGCTCCATTACCAAAAAATTATGTACAATCAAATTATAGAACTTATATTTTACGCGACGCAAAGTTCTATCTGTGATCACAAAGAACTAATATTTGAATCAAACAAACAAACCAGAAAAAACATAAGCTAGAGAAATCAGTAACTTAATTGATTGGATAAAAACTGAAGATTTCTAGTTATAATAAGTTATAATAGCGTTCTTAAACCATTTAAAGTCTACAAACAGGGGTTAAAGATATTCATGTTGCAATATCGATTATTTAAAATTATGTATGATACAGGAAATATTACAGCTCCAGCTTTCTTCGGATTATCTACTAGAACAAATGTAAAGGATAAACCTTTTAATTTGAAATTTCTTATTTTAATTTTAAAATATGATCAGAAGATATTTTGCCACCTAAAATATACATATTAATGAATTAAATGATATTGTTTTATTATTAATTGTTCAATTATTTTTATAATAATAAAAAGTAAAATTTAGATTATATTAATGTTTTGTGCCAATTAAATGGATTTATAAAAGGTGCCAACAAAAAGAGCTTTAAATACGAAAATTAGTATTTCATTAATGTCGGATCTGGCTAATGTTTATTATGACCATACTATAAAGCGTGTTACAAGTAGTAAGTGATTTTGAGAAAAACATTGACAACTTTTGTGAGGGAATAGATGTTAAGGCACTTCACACATTTATGGGATCAATCTTTTGCATTTTACAATAAATGTAAATAACTTCCTATTATTTATAATCTTAGTAATCCTATGATTGCGACCAAAAATAACGTGATCATGATAGAGGTTGGAACATAGTTGGAATAGGTTAATTTTTAACCGGTTAATTAACCGGTTTCGACGATATCTTGTTAACCGGTTAAAGATTTTTTTTTAAAAATGCTTAATCTTAACTCTGGCCAAAATTTAATTTTCGGGCAGAATTAAAATCTTTTGTGATTTACAAAATTACGCTAGTTTTGCCCAAATTTATAGCACCGGCCTGAGTTAAATTTAACCGGTTAATTAACCGGTTAAGGATTTTTGTGCCGGTTCCAACCTCTAGTCTCACAAGCATTGGTCATTTTTAATTTAGTGCCATAAATATTGTTTCACAAAAAAACACAAAAAAAAACTTGTAGAGGTATGTAAGCTGCATGTGTATTATTGATAAGATGATAAAATGCATTAACGATAATCGCTACCGACAATCTTGCAATAAATCTTATTCTTTAAGCACCATTTATTTCATTTGTTGGAAGAAAAAGAAAAAGGTAACGAGCTTCTAATTTTGGTATCGATTAAAGACTCAATGACGAAATTGGAAATTATGCGACCTCATTTTCGTGTAACTCGTACAAAAAATTAACTCGAATAAATAAATATGTTTCCTATCCTAGACAATTTTTTTATTTCTATCAAAACTGTTAATTCAGCTAAAATAATTAATTATGAGTTGGCCTAAAAGTCTAATCTCTTCCGATTGGGGAAGCACAACTGCTATTGCGCCAAACGGCGAAAACGTTGTCGTATTCGCAAATAAAATTTGTGAAGTTAATCCAGATGGCAATTACACTCAAATTGGATTAGAATGGCCAAAAATTATAGCAGCAACTACTAATGGCAACTTCATTTACGCTATTTATCCTGATGGATTCATTTACAAGATTAGTACTTCGTCTTACACTAGTGTTTTCAAATGGGCTGAAGCAGGCGGTGGATGGGAGAGAGCGAAAGCAATATTCGCTTACAATGACCACATTTACGTTGTCCGTGATTCTATCTGGGAAATACGTCTTGACGGTACTTATCATATGGTTCAGAATGATAACTGGGGGGCTACACGATCTATCACAGTAATTGTCGATTACGCGTATTCGGTCCATGATAATGGAATTATTTATAAAATTAATTTGAAAGATTGGACCTACAGAATTCTTAGTAAGGGATGGGCAAAAACATTCCGATTCCAATTACTTACATTAGATAATAAGTTGTTTGCTTATGACGTATATCTTACAATGGTTGATACAAATACTGGTTCGAAACATGTTATACATAAAGATAATTGGAATTCGAAATTAGCTGGTTGTTCCACTGCTAATGCAATGTATACAGCTTTTACTAGTGGGAATCTTTGGAAAATTACAAAATCTTAGTAATTATGTATGTAGATATGTCTCCTTTTATTATTATTATTATTTTATGTTTATCCTTATTTAGTTGAATTAAATAAGTGATTATTAGTAATTGATATGAAATTATTAATATGAATCTTAATATAATGATGTATAGTATTTGATTGTAGAAATGTTATTGGAAAATAAATGCATCGTTGATTTTTACACGTTTATTTTGATATTAAAAAGTGTAATTGTCGTACAATTTTTTGGTCACATTTTTAAGTTACGCAGCGAAACAACGAAAGCCGACAATTAATATTGCCCGAATTTATTTTTAAAAGATTTTAAAGCAAAAATCAATTACAAAATAAATGGAAAAAAAGAAGACATATATTGTATGCACAGATCACTATGGGACTATGGGTTTATGTAATAATTAATAAATTAAATAAATGACTTTCAAAAGAAATCGGAGATTTAAACATAGTTATCAAATTATGTTTATATGCTAAAACTGTATTTTTGGCCACAAATTTAATATTTTTTTTTTAATAAGAAGAATGTTAAAGAGAAAAAGATAAAATATTGTTAAGATAGTTGGACACAGCTTAGTTAGGTTCTTAAGAAAATAATGATGATATACGAAGTTATAGTTATCTCGTAGCTCATGTATATTTTTTAAGGTTAAGCACATTAAACATTCAACATATGTGCATTTCCTAAAATAAATTTAAAAAATTTACAAACTCCTCACGAGAACTTTTCTGCATTTAAATTCCAAACTCTCGTTTCAATGATTAGGTTGAAGAGGGGACACGAAATATTAAAAAACATGCAAATAAAGCTCCAATATGAGGAGTACGCTCAGGTTTAATTTTTAGCTTTGATTTATTTATTTATTTATTTTTTAAAAAAAGATAAAATGTAGCTATAAAAAGAGATTTTATTTAAAAGTAATATTTATACAATAAATTTGACTATTTAGGTGATAATATGATCGTTTTTGTGTATTGAGAAAAAATGGAAAGAAATATTTATAAGAAAAAAAGGTTTCAATTTCTAACGAAGTTAATTATTCGAAGAGGAACAGTTCATGTTATGTCGAAAAAACTTTATAAATTAAGATGTGGATTAATTTAATTCCTATAATCCGTCTCTCCATTAATTCTTTCGAGTTTTAATAATAAAGGCTCAATTTTTTGCCAATCAGCAAGATAAAGACTATCACGATTACTTTTTGCTCCACTTATTTTTTCAGATATAGGAATATCTGAGTCATCCCACGCTTTAATAATCATGTCTATTACTCCAGCAGCAGAGGATCCGTGAGCAGGGTGGACATACTTATATCACATGTCGATCATTTTGCCGATCATATTTTGTATTATCACATCAGCGTTTGC